TTATGAATCTATCACATCTAAATGCAGCACTTTTTTTGCAATGAGACATTGTTTTTATACTAAATATCTGAATTACTTTGAATAAAGCTGGAAATTATGTCCTTAAATAATTAAACAAATAAGGCACCAATATTTTGTAAGTTATTTACATCTTTTAAGGACATTCGGTAGACTGATTCCCCACTGTTGTTTCAACCCCAAAACTTGTTTGTATTCAAAATTAATTATGACAATGCATATTTATATTGAAACAAACTATGATAAAGGGAATTATATTATATAACAAAGGGCAAGGTCACCATAGTTCAACTATGTTTCTCTTTGTTAACGTCAACATACATGTAACTGGAATGATTGTCTGTCTGTATCCAAATCAAGATCAAATCTCTGAACAACAAATGTATATTTCTTTATTTATACTAGCATTACCCAACCAAAGTCAATATTTATTCAAAAATTTTGATCAAGAACAATAATAATATGAAATTATGTCAAATTAGTCAAAAATTAACTAAGAAATTGAGGACAATTCATAAAATGTGCAGAAGCATTTTGACAGGTGAAAAATGAAAAAAAACGTTGCCTGATTTTACTGCATGATTTTACTTTCTATACACACATCTCTAAACATATACTCTAGTGACTTTTTCTTTTTTTTAAATAAAACACAAAAAAAGCTGATTTACTTGAATATTTTTAAATACCCAGTGCATTTTGTGTAGCTATTGGTTAGAAATAGGTTGTACATTTATGTTTCTATTTCTGTTTTACAGAGGTGTGTGTACCCAAGCTCCTTGTTACTGCATTGTGATGGATTATTGCCCGTATGGTCAGTTGTATGAGGTTTTACGTGAAGGGCGAGAAATTCCACCCAATTTAATGGTGCAGTGGAGTAAACACATCGCTACTGGAATGAACTACTTACACTCTCATAAAATTATACACAGAGATCTTAAATCACCCAAGTAAGTGTGTTTACAGTACCGTGAATGTTCTTTTGGAATGTAAATAAACCAAAATATGCATGTATGGTATGACTTGAGTAAATCAGTATACTTTCCCAGCTGCTATTTACGTAAGCACATTTCCACTAGTCAGGAGTTTCGTTAAGAGCCGGCCGCCGGCCATATGGCTGGCTACGAGCCCAAATTGGTCGTCTACTCCACCCCTCCCTCAGACAGCCTACGCCGGTCTCGCTGCAGCGCTTCGCACTGCTGAGAGCCTTTTTAGTTTATTTTTGGCCTGTTGTTACAGGATGGTGGCCTGCTATTAAATGCATTTGTGAAACCCCTTGCACTAGTGTAACAAATATGTTATGTTTGGCCAAAAAACATAATTCCGTCATTTATATGCGCTATTAATTTAGTAAATACGGTATATAGATATTTTGACAACTGTCATTTATGTAAGAACATTTTGCTACTAATGAAACAATTATTGTATATTTGGCTAAAGATGCAATTTCCTGATTTATATAAGTACATTTACGCAAGCACATTTGCTCTTAATAGAGCAAATATTAATATTACAGTATACAAATAAATATTGTGGACAGGTCAAGGCTCTTTATATTAATATTTACGTACTTCTAGTTTGATACATGTATGTAGTTGGGCAACTTGACTGATAAACATTCTGCTAAACATGCTGTTGTTCATACATAAATAAGATTACCCCGGGTAATATTAGTTTTTCATTTTTCAGTGTACTAGTATGTAACAGGGATGTAGTAAAAATTTCTGATTTTGGTACATGTAAAGAATGGAATGAAAAGAGCACCAAGATGTCGTTTGCGGGCACTGTCGCTTGGATGGCGCCGGAGGTTATACGCAATGAACCCTGTTCTGAAAAAGTAGATGTTTGGTCCTTTGGTGTTGTATTATGGGAGTTGCTTACGGGTGAAATGCCATATAAGGTAAGGTTATTTTCTCATACTGATGTATTCATGATTTATGGCAAACAAAAATGTTGTTTTATGAAGTTCAACTCATTTGTACATGTATTCCAATTTTTTTAAAAATGTAGGTTTTTTTTAATCCTTAGTAAGAGCTTCCTCGGGTCCCCTCACCCATAATTCTAATCTCAACCCCACCAGTGACCCTCTTGCCATTGTAATTGTATATGCCCATCTTCAGGACACATCGTTACCTGGAAAGATCATATACCATTACATTTGGGGAGTGTTAAGATTCAGGTTAGGGGGCCTTAAAGATCCTGGAAAATGTTTTTGATCGATTGGTTAAATTTGACAGCAAATAACTTTTGAAAATAAAATAAAAATTATTTTTTGTACAATGAATTCCTGAAATATCAGCCAAAGGATACATGACCTTCTATAAAGATTGTCCATATTCATTTATTTTTAGCATGAATTGGGTTAATTAATTCATTATAAAGGTTTTATTCCATCCACCTCAATAAGCTGGGATCTCCATCTCCGAACACCCATGAGAAATGTGTTCTAAAGCTGAAATCTTGAATACATGGTTTGAATATATATATTTAGGAACATTTATTGCCTGGATTTTCTAAAAAAAAAAATCATCATCATTTTTGTGTTAATTTTTTACCAAATAGAGATAATTTATTTTTGGCTCCAGGTCTTGTTAAAAATTATTTAAAAAAAAAACATAGTTATGTAGTTTTATTATGTGAACAAGTTTAGTTAAAGCGAGAGAGTTGTCACCTGCGCATGCGTCAGATGGCCATAGCGTGTCATTGTTTACAGACAAGCGTCTACCCATGAGCCTTTGCGTTTTTAGTGTGTGTTGTTATCGTCGTTTGGGACTCAATTCCCGCGCGTAATCTTTTTGGTTGCAGTCACTATCTATATAACTAATGAGCGAAATTTTTTTCATATTTGGTCAAATTTTTTTATTATGATTTGTAGGGGATAGAAAAATAAATTATAAATTAATTTGATCGAAAATCAAGAAAGAAATTATAAAAAAATTCATAAAAATTTGTAAAGTGCTGCACTAAAATTATGGCAAGAAAAATATGGTGTTTAAATCGTTGATATTTGATCCTACAGGATGTGGATTCTTCAGCTATTATCTGGGGTGTTGGGAGTAATAGTTTGAAATTACCGATACCACGTACCTGTCCGGAAGGGTTCCAGCTGTTGATGAGACAGTGCTGGTAAGATCTCATCTTCTTTTCTGTATGTACATGCATAAGCTGAATGATCTGTGATTGTAAAATTCTGATAATGATTGGCTAATATTTCCTGTCACAACATGTTGATATGCAGATTAGCTAATTTACATATGCAAATTGTGCTTTACAATACATCTGTATGTGTATCTTGGGAGCATATATTAAGAAAATTTTTGTCTAGCTTCTCTAAAACTATTAGATGGATGATTTGAATATGCAATTGTAAAATCTTGATAATGATTGGCTAATATTTCCTGTCACAACATGTTGATATGCAGATTAGCTAATTTACATATGCAAATTTCTTACAATACATCTGTATGTGTATCTTGGGAGCATATATTAAGAAAAATCTTGTCTAGCTTCTCTAAAACTATTAGATGGATGATTTGAATATGCAATTGTAAAATCCTGATAATGATTGGTTAATATTTCCTGTCACAACATGTTGATATGCAGATTAGCTAATTTACATATGCAAATTGTGCTTTACAATACATTTGTATGTGTATCTTGGGAGCATATATTAAAAAAAATCTTGTCTAGCTTCTCTAAAACAATTAGATGCATGATTTGAATATGCAATTGTAAAATCCTGATAATGATTGGGTACTATTTCCTGGGAAGGCCTGTGGAAATGTAAATTTTCTGATTAATATGTTCAAATTGAATTTCCACCTCACTTTGCAATACCATTTCTTATCCCTTCTCGACCTCTATAAAGTCTGTATTTCTGAATTCATTTGACAGATATCGATGAAATAGAGTGTGTGATTCATAACTTTCTATATTCGTAGGCATGGTAAACCAAAGAATAGACCTTCATTTCGTCAAGTATTAATGCATATTGATATAGCCTCATCAGATTTCCTTTCAACGCCGCAGGAGTCTTACTTTGATAAGCAGGTACGTGATGGAGAAAGAGAAAGTTCAATTTGTAGTCTGTAGTTCTGTTTGTAAAGACTGGAGTGTAATACTACATGTATGAGGTTTCTACGAGAATACCGCAAAGTATGCATGAAGGCAGTACGATGATCATATCAACAAACGCGTAGCGGAGGTCAATGTGCTATTCTACTGCCTGAGTTCATACTTTGTGGTATTCATGGATAATTTTATTATTTTCCACTTTTTAGTTCCGCTGTCGACTTTGTCGAGCGGAGCTTATCATATGAGTGATTGTCCGTCGTCGTCGTCCGTGTCAATGTTTTAATTACTTTTTCGACTTCTTGAAAATTATAAGCCTGAATGCTTTGATACTTGGTGCATATGTACCTTGGGTAGACCTCTTTTAGATTTGTTCATTTTGTAATGATATCTTTAATTCTCTAATTTTGGTGAATATTTTTGTCATTTTTGCTAAAAAGTGATATTTTCAACTTCTTGTTGAAAACCAATTGCTTTGATATTACATATATAGGTACTACATGTGGACCTCTCTCAGATTTGTTCATTTCGTGGTGATATCTTCAATTATCTAATTTTGATGAATATTTTTGTCATTTTTGGAGGAAAGTGATATTTTTGAATTCTGTTGAAAACAGCAAGTCTGATTGCTTTGATACTATACATATTGTTCATTTTCTAATGATAGCTTCAGTTCTATAATTGCAATGTGCATTGCTAACAGTGGAGCTATCTCAGCCGACAGGCTGCCTGTTCTGGCTTGTAGTAATTATTTAATAACAGTCTGAAACGACAATGAAAATTGTTTTGTGCTGTACACTTGTACATTTAGTGACGGGAATCTGTTTACATGCAAATAACATGTCTGCCTCTGAAGTATACAATGGAATTGGTGTTTGAATGTGAAGTAAACTTGTTGCACAATTTCTGAATAAAACATTCAAATGTGTCCATAACACTTTCAAACATGTTTTTATGGCATTTTACGGACAGGTACATTCATTGTCAGATGTATAATTTATACATTATAACTCGTATTCAGAGTCCAGGGCCATGACCACTGACTCCTAAACTGTGTATATTATAACTTATTTTTAGGTTGACTGGAGAGAAGAGATTAAAAATACATTTGAAAAAATAAAGAGTGAAGGATCACATCTGCAGAGAATTGATGAAGATTTGATAAGAAAACGACAAGAGGAGCTGAAGTAGGTTGAATAATTGTTTTTGAATGTTCACACTATGTTAGGTCAAAAAGGGTTTAAAATATAATTTTTTTCATGTGGGTTATTGTTATAGAGGTTTCCTGAGGGATTGTTATAGAGAAGTTTCCTAAGAAGTTCAGTTTATAGAGGTTTTCAGAGGTTTTCACATTGTCATTGT